AGTAAAAATCGTGGATGACACCCTACTCTATGACTCTGACATCGAAGGAGCCTTTTTTCACACCTTCGATTTTCTCCTCCATTGTGCAAAAAACGGCATCGTAATAAATAGAGAAAAATTCCAATTTTGCCAAGACACGGTGCAGTTTGGGGCCTCCAAATAACATCTTCTGGTGTAACCCCTTCTAAATCCATGCTGGAGGCAATATTGAGCTTCCCAATACCAAAAAACACTCACCGATGCCAGATCATGGTTTGGGCTGGTCAACCAAGTCGCTTGGGCATACTCACTAAGCCCAGTCATGCTTCCATTTCGTGATCTCGTAAAACGAGACTCACACTTTACATGGAATAAAAGCCTTGAGGATGCATTCCAGCAGTCAAAGAAGGTCATAGTTGACTTAGTCCGAAAAGGCATCGCAACATTTCAAAAAGAAAGAATAACCTGCCTTGCCCCAGATTGGAGCAAAGACGGAATGGGCTTCCTACTTCTGCAGAAGTATTGCTCATGCACCACTGACAAAGCCCCAGTTTGCTGCCCTGAAGGTTGGCGCCTGATATTTGCTGGTAGCAGATTCTGCATTGATGCTGAACGCAGATATGCACCTATTGAAGGCGAAGCAGCAGCAATTGCATGGGCATTGGAAAAATGTCGGATTTTTGTAATGGGTTGCCTGAATCTCATAGTGGTTACAGATCATGAACCACTAAAAAGGATTATTCGGAGATAGAGACCTTAGTAAAATCCAAAACCCCGATTATTCAGGTTAAAGGAGAAAACCCTCAGGTACAGATTCACCATTCAGCACTGCCCTGGGAAATGGCACAGAGCCTCCGATGCTGTCTCTCGTAACCCAGCAGACATCTCACAGGCACTCCTAAATGTATTCACTGCTGAACCCTCTCAATCAGACATCATAGAGTCTGACAACATGGATGACTGGGTCAAATCAAAAACCTTATTAGCAACATTCGGTGCAAATGACAACCTGGAGCTCATCTCACCAGACGTTATCCGTACGGCGGGACGCAGCGACCCGCAATACAAAAAATTAATTGAAGTAATACAAAACGGATTCCAAAGAACGCGCATCCTCACTGCACCTGAAATCCGCGAATATTGGGAAGTGAGGCACCGCCTAAGTGTTGACGACGGGTTAGTGCTCTTAGATCAAAGAATTGTTATCCCCACCTCACAACGCGCAAAAATATTACATAGCCTACATTCTGCACATCAAGGCGAAGTTGGCATGAAGGCACGTGCCAATGAATCTGTCTATTGGCCCGGGATGAATGCTTCAATTGTAACATTAGAGCAGGTTGTACGTTCTGCTCAAAAATTGCCCTGAGTCAACCAAAAGAGCCAATCAATTTGACACCATCTCCTGATTGGCCATTTCAGCAAATCGTCATGGACATCTTCCATGTTGGAAACCATGGTTACTTAGCATGCGCTGACAGGTTAACGGGCTGGCTGAATCTATACCACTTGAGCCACGGAGAAGCTAATGCCTCAAGGATTATTTCGATTTGCCGAGACATATTTCAAACCTACGGGGCTCCTGAGGAACTCAGCAGTGATGGTGGGCCACCCTTCACATCTCTTCCATTCAAGCAATTTTTGCAAGACTGGGCTGTTAAACAAAGGTTATCATCTGCTGGTTACCCACAATCCAATGGTCGAGCAGAGCTCGCTGTCAAAACAGCCAAAAGAATCATAAATGGCAACACAGGAGCCCAAGGATCGTTGGATAATAACCGTGCAGCAAGAGCCATCCTCCAATACAGGAATACGCCTATTCAAAACATTGGGCTATCCCCTGCTCAACTACTACTCCACCGCCGACTACGTGACTACATACCATCCCACCCCACACTCTATAAGCCACACGCGAAGTGGATAACCGCAGCCCAAAATCGTGAGATAAGTCTGTCCCGGCGGAACGCACGTCTCATAGAGATACAACAGAACAGCACACACTTTAAACCCCTTCAAAAGGACAAATAGTGGCACTACAAAGACCAACAACCCGTCGATGGGACACAACAGGTCAGGTCATTGAAATCCTCCCCAACCACCAATACCGTATCAGAGTTGACGGATCGGGTAGAATTACCTTACGAAATCGCCGATTTCTCAGGAAACTGGATACACCAACAATTCCAGTTCCAAGACCTAGTGCCTTACCTGAGATCCCCTACACCATTGCCACAAACATTCGACGCTGGAATACCATCAAACACTGCTCAGCCGTCTACAATAACACGGACAAAAACCCCTCGGGCATTGTCCAGACTACTTCCACACAACCAGCCAGGTTTGAAGGAACAAATCCCTCCCCAAAGGCCACTACCAACACGCGATGGGGGGGAAGGAGATGTAGAATAATAATACAATAAACGACACTTACCGGCGTAAGAGTTCCAGCTAGCGTCCAGCTGGCAGACAAAAATAAAGCAGGTTGTAACTTAATACAAACCCCGCAAACTAACTGAAATTAAGCTGGTATTTATATAGAAATACTTCCACTCAGGTACCAGCAGCCAATCAAAGCCCAAGCAATGGACTATCCCACTTTAGCATAATGAGATGCTCCATTGCACCATAAATAACTCTCTTCCTCAATGTTGAATCAGTCTTCACTCAGCTTGCTCCACAACTGAGTGTTTATATTGACCACGTATTGTTCGACAACTTGCTTATGTAAAGAGTCAAATTCTTACTGGATGCTACATAATTGTGGCCTTGTGTCAGTCTAAACTGGGCTTCAGTATCTGTCTATATTTCTGAGATGAGGTATTATGTACATTATTTACATTATTCGGACTATTGTCCTCATCTTTGTCGTCATATTTATTACAACTTAGCACAGTGAGTGTGAGTTCAATAACCGGCTAAGGCAGTGGAGAACTTTCAGAGGGAAATTAACAGGAGATAACTGATAACTGACATTCATAAACATGGCACGTGGAACTAGAACAGTCTACCCCAGTGAGCGAAATAAAGGGTTCAGTTCGACATTCCAACCACCTGAAAAAGGCCGGAGTGTACAACGGCCGAAACGTTGTAATAAATAAGGCGACAAAGATGAGAACAATAGTCCGAATAATGTAAATAATAAACTGGGCTTAGTAAAATAAAAAGAAATTTGTGTAGGTCATTATGATTTTTTTTTCGTTTTTTTTTTTTTTTTGAAGGTACACATTCTAAAAGGTAAACATAGTACTAAGAAATAGAAAAAATTCGCAAGAAACTTGGGAAAGAGTACTAAACTGTTACACGATATATGCCCGCCTTTATGGCAGTGAGAGCTGGACAGTCTACTCAGAGATGATGAAGAAACTTGAAGCAACAGAAATGTGGTCCTACGAAAGAATGCTGAGGGTACTATGGGCCGAAAATGCAAGCAACAGCGAAGTTTTCGAGTAAATGGAAATAAAAAGGAAACTTATACTTAACATCAGGAAGAGAAAGAGTTGCGGTTTCTGAAGTAAATGAGGAAGGATTGCTTGGAGAATTTGATACTCACAGAACAGATGGGAAGCAAGAGAGACGGAAGAATACAATTCATAACCAGTAAATGGATGGCGAAAGAGGCTTTAGGAGAAATAAAAGAAAGACAAAACGTATTAAGAGCAACAAGGGACAGAAAGTTTATGATCGCCTACATCCTGAGGGAACACGGCACCTAAAAAATGGTTTCGGGTTTCAGTTCATTGGGATTCCAAATTGGAAAGCAAAAAGAAAATTCCAATCACGGTTTTGCACTTTTGTTTGATCCTTTTATGTCGACATGTGGAAAGTATCGACCCTGGCAAACAGTTGAGTACGTTGTTTCATGTCATTAAAAAGAGAGAAAAAAAATACTATGTTTCTTCGATAAGCGACTGATTTACTTGAAAAGGTCAACCGAACATTTCCCATAAAGCAAACATTATTCTCGAAAACATGTTTGTAAAGAACGCCATTTAAATAAAGAAATAATAAAAAAAAAACAGACAACTCAATCGATTCGTTTGACGATCTATTTCCAATTGTGTAAATTTATTTTTCGTATCAATAAATCATGGATAAAGGTTTCAAAATATTGTGTCATCAATGCTAAGCTGTGTTTTTAGAAAAAGGGTTGAGGAAATTACAAATATTTGGACATTTTTCCGGTATGTCTTATTCGTGTTTGTTTTTCTTTTGTTTTGTTTTCATATTTTGCTAGTCTTAATGCGATACATAGCAGTAACAAATAATGGCAAATTGATGTGAAAATTCTTCTCAAAAACAACTTAAGCGTATAAATATTACTAAATACATTCGGTTTCTCCGCCAGAATCAATTTCACTAGCTGGTTACCAATGTTGAATGGAATAAATCATAAATAAAGAGACCTTGGTGGAAAATCTACAAAGAAACCAACCTCATCAATGCATCATTATTTTTCTTTAATACTAAGCTTCAATACATCCCAGGCTCGTTAGGCACTCAAGATAGAAGGGTTATGGTTATTAAAATGATTAATTAGATATATGATATGAATGAAAGAAAACGTAGTAGAAAGGAAAGATTATAGAGAATAAATAACGATTGATCCTTGATTGAAAAGGTTAAGATAAAAGTGTCTAGGAAAGCATCCACGTGGGAGTCATAAATAACAGTCCTTGGGGAAAAGTTGTCTTAGTCGAACTTTTTCCCTAAATGTGGAGGAGATAGGAATGTTTCGACACCCTGAAAGAAGCAAAGCGTGTCCTAGCGCTAAAGGCCTGAACAAGTGGTTGGTTGATTTGTTTCCTACGGCTTATCAACCCCTTGCAGGTTATTTAAAGCCAGAAAATATATTTAGATTGTAAGAATGGTTTAGTGATACAAATGTTACTAATTAATCCATAGCTGGGGAGAGAAGTGGTGGATTCAAGGATATTTACGCGTAGCTCGACTTGAATTGGGACTCGGCTCTTCGATTAACATTTTCCAAGCCATTATCCATTACACCACCCGCACATCCAAGCGTACAACATCTGGTATTCCCAAGCGGTCACCCATCTAGTACTGACCAAGCTCAACGTTGCTTAACTTCGGTAATCGTACGGGAATCGGTGTTTCAACGTGATGAGGCCGTAAGCTAGTTCTATACGAGTGAAATAAAAGAATGGTGTTCATTTGAACATTTGCGATGGAAATAGCGATAAAGAAGCGATGAGCTTGCAATGTTGCCTATTTGGAGAAGAGGTTACAGAGTGTAGAAAAGCCCCCCCACCAACAAAAAAGGACCGCTTAACCGATTTTGATTTTTTTTATCAAGGCTGGAAAGTGAGTATTGAGTCGGCGCAGTCCATAAATGGCGGCAACACTCCATCTTTGTCTAATGCGATTCTTGTCATGATAAAATATGGTAGAAAGAATCAAGTACTTCCCGTAACAAAAGAATGAACCAAACCCTTTTTCCTGTCGGTTTTAACAATGGATGCTTTATGATTTCCACTTGGTGCCTGGAATGAAAGGGAAACTCAATATAGCTTTAAAATATGGAGTCTCACTGAGATTACAACAACAGTTCATTGTGACTGGAGAAAACTCAAAGTCTGCGTCATGGGTCCTTACCTAGATCGACAGAATTAACTCTTCCTAACGCTATGTATACTACGCCTCTCAAGAGAGATGGACGGTATTGAATCGAGTCACCCGCAGTCTCTGACTGTGTGTGACTTCTGTCGAACTCTCTGCTTTGGCAGAGAGGAACCCGGACGAAGCTTTGCCGAAGGGTAAAGTTTCGTCGGGGGAGGTAGACAGGCCCTGAACCCTTCTAGGCGGGTTCAAAGGGTATATTTTTGACCGAGCCTACGAGCTCGGAGAAACCCACGTTAAACTCGGCCTTGTGCCACATACATTCCTCGTAGAGGGGGACTGTTAAATATCGGTATTGAATCGAGTCAAGCTGATAGTAGTTCACTTCCAACCAGTCTGACAGTCATACTAAGACCTTCCACTTCTTGTATTATTTTTCGTGTAATATATTCTTTGTTATTTCTACTCTTGTGTTCCGTGTTGTTCTTCCATGGGCCTAACCTTGGACCATAACAGTCTGATTGGTGATGACATCATAAATGAGTACCTAAGATGCAATTTTTACTTTAGTTCGAAGATATTCGTTTTTCTTATATCTCTTCAATTTAACTGCTAAAGAAAAAATGTTATGGAAAGTAAAAGAAAACAATCGAAATACAGAAACTTCCATGTATAGAAACAGGATTCCTGACTTTTTTGTTTATAAGGCCAAATATGCCAATATGTGTAATAATAAAATTATATATATATATATATATAAGTGAACATTGAAGTCAACACTTAGAGGCGACAGTCTGTTTCATGCTAGACGCAATCGTCAAAGCCTGACGAGTGCACACACATTATATATATATATATATATATATATATATATATATATATGAAACAGACTGTCGCCTCTAAGTGTTGACTTCAATGTTCACTTTTATATTTACACGCTCTATCTCTGATATTGAGCACTTTATGCCATAAATATAGCACACCTTAAGACTATATTTCTTTTATATATATATATATATATATATATATATATATATATATATATCGAAAATAATAAAAAGAAACGAACAAAAACGAGTATCTGTATATTTTATATAGCCCATGTCCCCTGTGTTTACAAGAAAAAGCTGCATATTATAAAGTTTCTTAAAAATAAAGTTCTGCTAAACCAAAGAAATGAAGTATTATGTAGGCATTGTATAAATTTTACATTAAAATATAGTTAAAAGAATTTCTTATAAATATTTTACGTATTACAATTACATAGCCATTATTCTATAAGTATACTATACTTTACTGTGCAAATGACAAAATCAAAAACAAAAAATCGCACACATATATATATATATATATATATATATATATATATATATATATATATATTTATAAAAGTTTTATTAAAAACGACAAGGTACTGCGGTTTACTTTCCTTGTTGTCTGCTGGGTCATGTAATTTAATAATTGTGTATTTGTATAAAAGAGGGTTTGCTGCCCAAATATAAAATTATTAAATGACAGTATTTAGTCATCCCCCCCCACAAGGTCATTATGTGGCACAAGGCCGGTTTAATGTGGGATCTCCGAGCCCGTGGGCTCGGCCAAAAATATGCCCTTTGAACCCGTATAAACGGGTTCAGAGTCCTTTTTATCTCCTCGAAAGAGACTCCGCCCTTCGGCGTAGTCTCGTTCGGGTTCCTCCCCGCCCAAAGGCAGAGAGTTCAACCGGTCAGCCGTTCGTCCGACTTCAGACTGAACTCAAATTATTAAATGACATGACCCGGCAGCCAACAAGGAAAGTACATATATATATATATATATATATATATATATATATATATATATATATATATATATTAATTGTAAATAAATTCGACTAAAAGCAAAAATTAAGAAGTTCCAAAAGAGTATAAAATTAAAAAAAAGTCACTCAGAGCCCATCGATCAAACGTAAAGAACGCATAGAATGCTCCTTTTGTTTATGCGTTCCTTATCTTTGATCGATGGACCGTGAGTGACTTTTCTATTGGACATTGAGATCAGCACCCAACAATGACAGTATGTTTCATGCTTATACGCAATTTTCAGGTCTGATGATTGCATATAAATATGTCGGCGCTTGGTATTGACTTCAATGTCCACTTTTATAGTTATATATGCCCTATGGCTAACATTGAGCACTTTAACCCGTAAATATCAGTCAGTCACACGTTTTGGGCGATCCGACATCTTTCGATACATACCTGACATGGCAATTTTTTTTTCCCGCAGTAGGTTGGCATTACTTCCTGCGGTAGACTTGCGCGCAAGTGAATAACGAACCCGACCGGAATTCGAACTCGGCTCTCCAATCTCTCATTTTTTTTTTTAAATATTATGCTTTATTTTTTATTGATTTGTCTAAACGTGTTTTCATTCTCGCGGTCTTCATCAGACAAAGTGGATATTTCCACATATTATTAAAAGGAATTAATTTTTCTTATGTTTTTCAATGTTAAATATTCTCGATATTAGACATTCTCTTTTTTGTGTGTTAGTGACCCAAATGTCTTCTTTGAGCTGGCAGTGAAAAAGTTCTGCATGAAAGGTAATAAAACAATTAAGACTGGTCTGAGAAAGAGTGGGAAAGATATCTATATTCTTATCTTTTAATGACCCCTGTGTGTTCTTAGATCTATTTGCATTTTTTTGTGTTTTGTCAGCATGCGTACGCATACTTATATTTCGTCTCCATATATACGCGCATGTACGTGTTCACACTCCCCCTATATAAACACATAGACAGTATATATATATATATATATATATATATGAAAATAACCTTAAACTGGTCATTCCTGGAAGTTTTCTTTATTTACATTTGATGCAAATAATTATATTAACTATACATTCTATAAATAGAAATTGAACTGACACCGAACTTAACGGACACCATTGGTGGCTTTCAAGGCAGTATTATATTTTTTAATTGTCTGCTTTTCTACATCATATAAGCCCGCATATTTAAGGACAGGTTGGAAACTGTCTTAGTTCTGGAGCTACATAATTATTATACCAACACTAAAACATAATGTTACTTCAATTAATCTTTTATTGCACACAATTTGCAACGGTTAAATATATTCGATCTATTGCTTTTCCAAGAAGACACAAGAAGGCAGCCATATTAGCAGGTAAGTCACTTGACTTCTACAACTACATCATAAAATAACGCAACACGCTCATAATTGTCGAGTTATTGTTGACTATTTTGGGGCGTTCAGCGTTGTGACGCATCAGGTTTTCACAAACAATACTTTATTATTTGCAAGCCAAAGTCTATCAATAATAGTACTGTCCAAATTGCCCTTTCCTGTATTTGAAAGGCAAGTAAACAGGATATTAAAAAAAAATCTATATTAAACGAATTTGAAAATAAACAGTACATCATGCTTCTAAGAAAGATGATTTTTGATGTGTATGCAATGGTGATACCTCTTTATCTTTTCGAATAAACGAGGTCAATTTAGAAAGTATCCAGTCTTTCGGAATAGCTCATTAACAGGTTGCGTGTAACTTGGCATACGAATATTTTTTGAACAAGTCTTCAGATGTCCAGTGTCAAATAGAGTTTTTTTCTTTTTTATTAATTCACATAAAATGGAAGGTGATATATTTTGTTTTGGTTTGTTTTATTTTACGGCATATCAACCTCAATGGGTCATTTAATGGCGACAACTTTTTTTCCCGGTAATATTTTTTTCCTCAAAAATATATAGCTGGTAATATTATTTTTTCAAAAACGTATAGCTGGTAATATTTTTTTTTCTTCAACAATTTATCTCTAGTAATAATTTTTTACAAAGTATTTCTGGTGTTAAAACTTATTTTTACGCTTTTATAATTTTTTTTACCTCAGTTTCGGGGTTAACTATTTGCCCATAGCTGGGACCCTAACAGGTACTACCACCCCGGGTCAGGGTGGACCTGGGAACACCAGCAATTAAGAGGGGGTTCCACGCTCCTCAAAACCTTCTGATCAGATGCCTTGCTGTTGGACGTAGCTTATCGTCTTACCCTGGACGCGGATGTAGTTTATCATCATAACCAGGACGGGTGATATATTTTGAAAATCATTCGTAATATAGGATAATAATAACTATAGTATTATTATGATTCGATTAGAAGGATCGTTATTCGATTAAAAGAGATCAATTAAAGATACAACAATATTCAGTTTTTATTATTAGAGACCATTTACAGGCATTTAAATTTTAACTAACTTGGCTTGTACATTTTTTAATATATATATATATATATATATATATATATATATATATATATTTGTGTATTTAGGCAGCAATCCTTCTTTCATGCACTTTTCGTTGAATACGACAGACAAGGAGCTTTTATTTAGTTTTTTATACAATTTCTCATGCGATCTAACAATTTTTTTTTTTCCGGATGCAAAAAAAGGCTAAAAATAATATTAACTTTGAACATGGAACCAATATCTTGATCGTATTTTTGAAAAAAACATACATACAAAAAACTATTTCTTATTTAACAGTTAAAATAT